GCTTTCTACTAATCTACACCCCCTACGAATTTCACACATCATTGAGCATTTAAATATTTTCCTTAAATTTCAATATCATCCCTGTGTCCTCGTTACTTTATTAATATTAATAGGATATAATCGACTACGATGAGTTATGTGTACGGAAAAATCAATGTCAGCACTGATTTCATCATGATGATATCGAGATAATTCTCCATTGAACTATTGACTTTTTTTTCTCGCTGAGTTGAGTTAATTTATTTTCTATGAAAAAATAATCTTTTGAGAGAGACTAGATTCTTATTAATCATAATCCATCTTTTGAGAGTGCAATTTAATTAGTTGTTTTGATAATGGAATTAAATCTTCATTTTTCCACATCAATCTTTTCAATCTGAATTATCGGGAATTGTTTTTAAAGGATGGTAACGATGGAGAGTCTTAAGACAAGCTTTTCGCATGAATAGGCACAGGAATTGCAGGATGGATAGGTAGACTGAGGTGATAATGTGACTTTTGAGCATTTTATAAGTTGAGCTTTAATTTTTGTCATATTGATCGGACTCTTGGTTTTTATTTTGAAGGAATTGAACCCATAATTAATTATTTTATCAAAACCCAGAACCGCATATCTTCATCCTTGATCTACTAAGCCACTCTGGCTTAAATGACAATTTAACGATTTCTACTCAGAATAGCACTTGACCCAGACCTGCCTAAGATCAAATATCATATAGAATTACATGACTCACATCATAATTGTTCTAAGCACATACTTAAATAATTCTCAGTGCTTCCACTTTAAAATCTCTCTCAATGTAAAGAGTTCTCATCTCATTTATTGTATCCAATTACCATCACATCAACTAAGTCGCGCTTCAATCATTAAATAATGACGCTAGTCCTTACGTCAATTCAATAAAATTTAATTTTAAACCTCTTAAAGTATAATTACCAAAAAATAACTCCATTTCGTTCACACATTCAATCTAATTGAAAATTTAATTAAAAATGATTTTAGGAATCAAACATTGGCAAACATCATCTGAACTTATTTATTTTATTGGAATCATATGATGAAATTGTAAACTATTATTTTTGACGTCATGAAAATATTTCATAACTCATGACATTTAGTAAAGCATATGTATGTGAAATTATAATATTTAATTTGAATTATAGGTTTTATACAAATGTCATGTGTAAGCTTAGCTTTAACTTATAAAATGCCCAACAGCCCGGAAAATTTGTGGCAGTTGTAAGGGTGCCAAGTGATTAATTTGTGAGGGTAATTTTAGGTGTATCGGCAATGAGAATTTATTTTTGGAATATTGTGCTAGTATAAATGGGGATTATTGAGTTTAGGAATGAATAGAAATAGATTTTATCATTGTATTTTAGCAAGGTTGTAGACCTGATAGGATGCAGGACATATGGAGACTTTTTAAGGGTTTTTGTGGAGTTATAGATATTGAATGTTGATTCTTAATTGTCTGGCTACATCTTTGATTAAGAATGCTCTAATTTATATCCAAAAAAATTTCCTGCTTAAAAGTTCAGCACTCAAAACGATTGATTTCATAAAATTCACTCACAATTCAACTTCCCAAATCAAAATAACTGTCTGACTTGCATCTTTCACACGAATCCTCGTCAGCTCATAAAAAAATAAATGTATTTTAAAAAGAAAAAAATTATCGCTAAAGTGCCTGAATTGATCCTTATTAAATTTAATTTAAGATATGAAATGAAAATTAAAAAACTTTTCATTTCATTATTTGCGGATGCTCTGAACGATGTAATCTTATTGAAGTTTCACATCCTTTTTGGGCTTAATTTTTTTTTCCTCTTCCGTGAACAGAATGAGAAGAAAACTTTCAGACTGTAGAAATTTTTGTGTCGGCATCTACCGAAAAACTCCCACGCTACTCGAGACAGACTTTTTTTTAACTAATAGGAATTAATGTCAATCAAATTACACTTCAAGATGTCTAAAAATACTTAATATTTCGAATGAATTTCATTTTAGTTTCTCTTCACCTTCCGTGTTGATCATAAAGTTCGAAATCAAGCTTGTTAAATATTTATTATGAAAGAAAAATAAGTTTTTTGACCCAGCTAGTTATACATTTTGTTGAATGAGTGAAAATTAATGGAGAATGTGACATGTTGGCAATAATGAACATGTTTTAAGAAAGCAGGCTGTGAATGTGCTGTTTATGATAAGAGCTTATTTTAGTTATTGTGTAAATTACATATTGTACGTTCAAACCACTATGGTGTCATGGGGGAAGGAGATTATTCTGCTAGGGTAAAGAGTTCAATTTTTAACATCTGGATTAACAGATGTGTGACTGAATTTCGACATACTTTACATTATCTTCAATACAATCATCAACTACATTTTAGTTCCATCTCTTTATTTTATCATAGTCTTCTTAAAACACTTATTTTAATCCTAGCTTGATTTGATTTTAAAGCAATCTACAAACCATTAAGTTATTAACTAATTTAGCAACAATAAGCTGCATTTGTATTTTAAATACCACTTGATTTACATTGTATGACAATTTATTGCAAGCATGTCATTTAAACTTATGCAAATAAGCCTCATAAAGTGATTCAACTGCATGCATATCACACTGTGCTATTTATTATAGATTCATGATTTCATCCGAGCTGCTTTTCATCCCTCAAAAATACTTGATAAATAACAACAGAAATCTAAATTAAATCTTATATCTTCATCCTTAATACAATCTTACACGTGGAATCAGAACCTTTAAAAAATATACCACAGCACCTTGTGAGCATTCTAATTGTCTCGTTGGAATAACAATTTTGTGAGAGACACACGCTGATTTCTCAAGTATATGAAAAATCTTTTGATTTGATGATGTTGTTAAGTGTGTTGTGATACGAAACTTGTACAGATTCTGAATTTGATATTCAACTGAAAAGTTGTATGTGGAAGTTAAAAGGAATTAAATGTTGCCAAGTTAAGACAGTTCGCTAGTGATTTTAGAAACAATCAATAAGACTTTTTAATGATGTTTTCTATTATATTGAACAAGATTCAAAGTTTTATTAATGGAAAATCTTTTAGGCAATATTCCTGATTTGGAGCTATTTCCCCACCCCACAATTAATTCCTCCCCAAAGCCTTGTTCAATTTAATGGAATATTTATTGTGGTAATCGAAATTTGAATATCCAAATTGAGATCTTTCAAATGAATGAAACCAACATGCTAGCTGCAGATATTTTAATTTCACATAATGTATTCAGAAATCGTTGATTAAAACAGCTAGTTATATAGTTCTCTGTGTTGGTCAGTCTATTAATTTTATTGCCTTAAAATTTGTTAAATTGAAGCTTTTTCTTGTCTAAACGTCTAAATATCCAGGAACGGCATGATGAGGCTTAGATGCTAAATTGACAGCCAGTTTTACGTTCGGATTGACGAGTTAAATCTCTAGTTTGTCCTATTTAGCTTGCAGAAATTTCAATGATGAACCCTCAAGCTGAATTTTTAATTATTCAATACATCAAAGGCCTGCAATTTGTGAATTAAACAATGAATTTAAGAATAATTTCAAAATTTAAGGAAGACGTCTAAAGAATTATAAAAATTCGCCACGTAGAAACATGATTCAATTATGCCATCAACATTCTTAATTCGTTTATTTATTTTTCTTTGAATCTTGACAATAAGTTTCGTGCGGCTTGTCTTGTGTGCATGAGAAAGTACAGAAAGTTCAGCATTGCTTCCATTAAACTAAAATACATCATTTCCTCAATATTTACTATTTATAGTATATGCAGACTGGCATAGTAGCAATCTCAAGGGGCTATAAAAAGGAAATTTAATTTCTCAGAAGAAACCTTCGATATAAAATTACCCCATTATACATACATCCAATATTGAGCCTAAGAAACTTTCCCAGTGGGAGCAATAATTTTTATTTTTTAAAGCTTTTTGCATTTAATTATTTTCATCCTTTTACTTGCTGGCTGCTGTTTGTTCATAGACGTCAGGACACAAATACAAAAATTGAGAAAGTTCATAATTTCCATGATTTTATTATCATTTCTCTCAATCTCTCTGTTACTCATTTTATGCATTGACTCTCTTTTTTTCGCACGACAACACCAGCACACATATAAACTCACACTCGTTGAACATTTTACCCATTTTATTTGTGCCATATACTCACCGATACAAATACACAAGGAAAAATTATTCAATTGAAGGGGAGAACTCATCATGAAAAAAGCTTGAAATTCTCACAAAAAAAAAATGTGAAGGGAAAATATTTAATACACAAAAGGCACACAAACAACAACAGTCTTTATTCTCGTACTCATATATTGATATATACATAAAATTCGCATATTTTTGCTAAAGGAAGAAGAAAAAAAGTTTTATTATGCTCTCTCTCAATTTTTTTTTCTTTCTTTTTCACTTCTCTATACACATTCCGGTCGGAAAATTTTAATGCAAAAGAAGCTTTCTGTATGTTCTGTTAGAATAGGAAAATTTCTCTGTTGCGACGAAAAGGACATAAGCGGATAGAAGTTAAAAAATTAATTAAAATTAGTTTTCAGTGTTACTTAATAATAATAAATTATTAACTTTTTAGTTCTTCGGGAATATTATCGAAAAAAAATTGAAAATTAATGAACTTTATCGTGGATTTTGTAACAAGTTTTTCGGCTGGGATAATTGTTGCTACTCTAAATTTGGATATTTGCATGTATTGCTCATAAAGAAAATTATACAGTATAAAATAAAAGAAAAAAGTGTCTCGAATTTTGTTATGTCGGCACATGAAAGGAGGTCAAAAAGGAAAAATCGAAATCGTGTAAAAAAGAAAGGTAGAAGGAGCCTTGAATTGAGAGGAAATACAGTGCGTATGTAGGCAAAAGTAAAAGTAACCCAAAGTAAAAAAAAGTGAACTTAATAAAATAAAAATTTATATTTTTGGACGTGGCACAAGACAGGATAGCTCTCGTGTAATGTTACTTACTATTATCGTATTTTACTCGTTCATTGTACGTTGCCTAAAGCGAGAAAATAAATTAATTGCATCGAATCGATCATTTAAAACTGATTCGTCATCCAATTCAATATCATCAAGCTCAACGACAACAAGTTCAACAACGTCGAGTCTTGCAAATTCAATAGCATATAATCATTTAAGTAAGAATCATCATAAAGACACGATAGGAGCAATAAATCGTGATAAAGACGATCATAATAACGAGGAAGTGGAAGGTGATAAAGTAAAAGATAAAGATCCAAATGATAGTGGCAAAGAGCCATATTCTGATGATGAGGTTGCTGATGATAATCAGTTTGATGAAGAGGAATTTTATAATATAATTGCAACAAAAGCAGCTGCCTTTCAATCAAAGCGAAACAGTAGCACGTCTACTGTCTCAAGCGGATCGATGTATGATGACACATATCGTACAAAGCGTCATAGTTTACGCTCGCAATCGTCAACTTGCTCTGATATTATGGAAACATCCGTGATGAGTAGTACACGTCGTAGCTCGGAGGAAAGTTGTCGATTACAAAATCGTAAATTAAATTATAAAAGCAGACGACATGGCTTCCAGACACTTAGCAAACGACGGAGAACAACTGGAAGGTATTTTTAATACTCTAAACATCCAAACAAAATCGAATTCCTCTCTCGCATAATTTTTGTGTTGTACCTTTATATACATTTAAATATAAATATCGCATTGGTATAAATATGTTGGCGTATTATGATAATTGGAAAGAAAAGGAAGTGATGTAATAATTTGAGCGCAATTTTTATAAAAACACGTGAGCTTTTTGAGGATTATCAGAGCGTATCAAGTGTTTATCACAGTCTGTTATGTAATTCAAGATACAGACTGTCTGTTTTGTCTATGGCAACCTAAATGTAGCTAGATTAAGTAATATCCTTCGTCAAAATTGTTTCTTGGGAGTTAGGAGAGCTAGAAACTCAAATACCAAAGCTATTTGCTGTACAACTGCAGCTTTGAAACTTCAAAAATTTCGAGTTTGACTCAAATTCACAAAAAAATTCAGTTCGTAATCCTTAAATGCGCTATAATTTTCAACTTACCTTTCCTAAACGCTCTTCAATCAAGAAAATCGTAAAATATTCAACACCCAAGTGCGCTCAAGTCATCGATTTTCGATTGACATTTACACATCTTTCCAAAAAAAAATAAATTCCTTCTTTTTCCTACATTAAGTTATGTTTCACATTTCCATTTAACTTCAATTGTCTACCTTTTTATTTTACTTCCTTGCGGGTGAATTTACCCTGTTTGTGATTGCTCCTCATACCTAATTTTTATATGTTCCTATTTACCTGCCTACCAGCAAATAAATAAAAAATATATAAACGTGCCAGTAGAAAATGTGTTCATATCGTCTTAGCTACCGAGTGTCGTACTGTATATTTCTGTTTTGATTGTAACTATGTTTAGAATACGAAAAAAAAAAGAATTTATGAAGATATTTTACTTTTATCACACTTACCATTCTTTTCCTCATATGTAGGACTGTACATTACATACTTACCGACCTGAATAATATTAAAAAAACATTTAATCAACTTGTGCTTTTTTTTAGAAAAAAAAAATATATTTTCCTCTCTGAATCCTTTCATTTATTGTTCCTGCTATTTCCATTTATATCCTTCATTTCTTTCATGCCATACACACGTTAGACTTTATGTATGAAACGACACATAACAATAACTTATTTGCTAGACGTAGGAATAAAAAGATGAGACGTAAATTACTTTAGTAGAAATTTAATTGGGTCATTCGTTTAATTAACGATGAAAAACTTCCTTTATACCACCGTGCATTATTATAGATTTTTTTTTCGAGCTTTTGTAAATTATTAGACTTTTTCCACGGAACTGAATTTTTTGTGGGTGTAAATCGGAAGCTTTCAATTAAATTAATGAATTTTTTTTGATGATGTTATCAATAAACTAGGTCAGTTTAGTACTCAGTGTTTTGTGGATGTATTCGAGGGTACCCGGTGTTTTTTAAGGGGTATAAACAAAAATTTATCCCCGGGCATGCACAATAAAATCAAGCTCTAAAGCATTTATGCAAAAAGTGGCATTTTCCCACCAATTAACTGAACTCCAATACAAAAGATTGAATCTATCCAGAATAATGCTTAAAAATTGTCCATTACCATACCACAGAAAGCTAGTACACCACTAAATTACAGCATAATTTTCCAGAGCAATTAAAATTCCATGATTGTTCTTTTTCTCGCTACTTTCATGACTTTTAAAGCTCATACACACATTTAAAAGTCCTTTTTATACTCTCACTACCCCCATTGTATGTACTTTACAGTGCAATAATTAACAATTCACTTCTCGTCGCCACCGAAAGAGGTTTAAAAGTTTCACTCGAGCTGCTCAACAATATATTCATGTTCATTTTTATAAAAAAAAAAAACGGAACTTGCATTGTGTGTATTTTTTGCATGTACAGCACAACTTTTTTTGTATGATGAATACTTATTGAAACGTTCTTTGAATATAATCCATCAATTTTGCATGTGTCTTGATGATATATTGAGGTGAATTGATTAATTTTTGTCGAGATTATCTTTAAAGCTTAAAGCTTTTCTGAGGTGTGAAAAGATTTTCTTGTGATACGTCTTTTAAGGAATTAGGGATGATGGATATGATATTGATTTAGGGTTTGAAAGCTTTTGAATTCAATTTGAGCAGAAACCTGAGAAAGGTATTCAAAAATGTACATGCAATTTTAGCAACCCAGCTACTTCCCAACTTTAATGAAATAGTCTAACATATCCACAATAAAATCTACGTAAAGCAAACATAAAACCCATAAATCTACATGACAAAATAGAATATGATTGCTATTCAATATGCTTGTTTAGTCCCTCGACCAACTCACATAACAAAATTCGACAAAACTGTCAAAACAAAATAAAAATTTCATTCAAACTTTCATTGACAAATCCAAACACGAAAAGCTTTTGACAACCTGAAATTTAATTTATGAAAGATTTGAGAACTTTTTTTTTTGGTGAAACAGCAATAAAACCTAAAGTATAATTTGTCGGTCAATGTACATTAAGAATAATTTATTATTGAAAAGTGTATGAAAAAAAAGAAGTTATAAGCAACTAAGGGATGCCGCTTGTCATAATAAATTATTAGGTCGCTTGAGGATTCATTTTATGTGTGTGAAAAGTGTCCAATATATTTTAGAAAAATTGACATTTTCTACAATTCAGTAGCTCACGTCTCGTTCCATTAATAGATTTTCTTTTTCGTATGTATATTTCCAAAATTTATGCCACTTCCATAAATTTGTTATATATTATTGATAAACATTGATTTTCAATACGTGCAAGAATATTTTTTTTAAATCCTGAATTTTATTATTTCCACAATCCGTGTAGATAATGAACTTATACGACAAAATGATTTTTTTGTGCCTCTCAAGTGTATACACAGGTAGCATTGATAGAAATATGTCACAAATTTGATTGAAATTCACATAAAAAACATCAATCAAAGAGAAAGAAGAAGGATGTTCTGAAAGCATAAGAAGGGTCTCATTTTTTATGACACTGTCGCCCTTCTTAGAAATCTATGTTTAGTGAATGGTTCATTCATGCATATTATTAGAGGGGTATGCAGGGGTGTAGGAAGTAAAGGCTTTTAAGATTGAGATATTTACGGGTTTCGATATTATCTAGATTGCGAGAATATCGACTGAAAATCATAGCAAAGCTTTGGCCTTGAACTTTTTGAAAAATGCTGTCCTTGCTGTGTTTTTGAGTCTCACTGCTTTCCTTTCCTTGCATGTATTCCATCAGTCGTGTCATCATACAAGCATAGTGTTCCGCTCTGGAAAGAATTCAAGCTTTAACATCGAAAATTTTACTGCACTTGAAGATCTAAGATGAGGAAAGATATTCTTTCCGTAATATGTATCCTTCCTTTTAGGTGCGTTTCATTGTATACAAGACAAAAAAGACTCAAGATAAAAAAAGTTCTTGATATTATAAGCAAAGGAAGAAAAAGCATAAATGATACTAGACATGATGAGAGGATGAAAAAAAAAACTTTCATTTTGTCGTCTCTTCTTCCTTTTCATACTTAATAACAATGAGATTCAGAAAGAACAATGAATATTCACTGCATAATATATTAATGTATATGATATTTGCTTCTCTGTCATAAACTAGACCAGATAATAGCAAAAAGTGACTAATCAAGATGAGTACAAGATGAATAAGAAAAAATAGATTTAAATGTCCTCTTCCTCATGTTTATCTTTCCTTTCCGCCTTTTTTATGTTATTGATATTTTTTAGATGCTCATGAAACTTCAACAGTCGTTGCTAGTTGTACATAATATCCTTTCCTCCCTATACATTTATTTAAAAATCATTTTAGCTCTACATATCTCTCCTGTTTCCCATTTTTTTTTTTATTTTTGGCTGATACACGATTGAACATTATCAATATCATCATCATCATCTGTATCATACTTATCAGTCAGATAATTTTAGCAATTGTACATGATACAAGTACATACAAACAAAAAAGTATAAACTACTGAGCCAATGCATGCAGTTTGTGTTGAAAGTTTTTAATGATAGAGGATCATGGGTTTGGTATCTGGATGTGTTGCTATGAATTTTTTTAAACTTTAAAGAAATAAAGGATTGATCAGCAGTGAATGTATTTTAATTGGAGATAAATCTGATTCACTTAAAAGTTTGCAAGTAGTTATGATGAATTTCAATGAGTTAATATTAGCTAATTCTTGAGTACTCCTGAAAAGCATGTCTTTACAGCTAAAATTGACGTATTCAATAAAATTGCGCTGGTTAAATTTTTTAAGTCTACACACTTGTTGCCAATTTTACCTTTTGATTTATTTTCTTCTGAATTACATACTTCACATGCTAACTTTGCAAATTGTGCCTATTTAAAAGCATCAGGATTAATTCAACCTCATAACTCGGTTTGTGTATGACCTTATCGGGTTATGCAATTTGCAGGGTATGGAATTTCCATACTTTGTAAAACCAATTTCTTGATGACGTACTTCAAAAGGAATTCAATTTCCTCGAGTATGTCTAATATAAACATTTAAAATTGTTGTTGTTGCTACAATAACTGATGTTTCCAAATTTCAAAAATTTTAAAGAAGAAGAAAGCTTGTTTGTGGAACAGAATGAATATGGACTGGAATTTGATATCAAAATAATTTTGATTTATGAGTCCAATTGTCAAATATCTTCTCTCTGGATAACATAATTAAACGGTACCTTAAATCCAAACTCTTTGAACTCTTTTCTTCTAATACTAAGCATAAGCAAAATCATCCCGATACCAAAGCCCGTTTAAAAAAATGATGCAATCTTTGATACATAGAGATTATAAGTTGTACAATTTAATCGAACATCTATATTCATTTGTTGAATGTTTATTAGTTCTTATGTATGTTAGCTATAACTGTTTATATATAAATCAATATTTCGTAACAGAAAATTAAAAGAAAACAAGGATTTCTCTTATATTGCAATATTTTGATGAAAGCACACAAGCTAGCCGTTTATGTTGTTGTGTTTACCTTTCTCCTTCCGAATGTTTGTTTGTACTTAAGCTTCAATACATATGTTGTTGGACATGAATTGGATTTTTTATACTTGTATCGATCGATAATTCTGAAATTGGGGCAAATAGACAAATTAATTTAGTAAATAAATAATGCGAGATAAGAATAAATTTCATTTTTAACTCTACATCCTGCTCTCATCCTCTCTTACACTCATAATAATCTATGAAATCATTTTTTATATGTCTGCGGTGAGGAGTTGATTGCGAGATTATAGCAGGAGATTAAAACAGATATGGGAGTCATGACAGCGAATTTATCTTCCTCTCACACCGACGTTATTAAATGAATTTGAATGAATTGTGCTTTTTTTATTTTAAAATCTATAAGGGGTCGTTTATATATTATGTAGCTTTAAAAATTTAAATTTATTCACACCTTCACAATGGCAGAGATTATTAGGACTGCGAAAAATCCAGAGCCATAAAGTTTATCTCCAAATAAAGTTACAAAACATCCAAATAACCCAAAATAAAACATTTGAATCGAAATAAAATTATTTACGCTCAATTCACAATTTTTCTTTTCATTGAATTATTATTTGCCATAAAGCTATGGTTGCCAGAATAGCTAATACATCAAAAGCATGAAAATTGAGCTAACAAGAAAATTCGCATTAATTTACTGATCTATTATAATGATTTGACGCTCAATACATCAGAGTCGCCATAATTTGATAAGCTTAATTTAATTTTATTTGAAATGTCAGCGGCGAGATTCATAATTTTTCATTATTTTTGACATTAAATATGTTAAATAAGCTTGTATTTTTCGGATATGATTAACCTTAATAATGAATGAAATCAGTTCTGTGTGAATATTATGCAAAATTATTTTTTTTTTTATTTTGTGGCTAGGAGGTAATTTTTGGGAATTAATTTTGAGTGCAGAGCTAAAAGAGCTTTTAAGTTAGATTCTCAAAAAGATTCAAAAATAAAGTTTCAATCAGTTTAAGTATCCATTAAAAATTGATACTACAAAAAATCTTTTAACGACAAATTAAATCGTAGTAATGACAAACGTAATATGTAATGTAATGCTATATCGTGAAGTCATGAATGTCATAACTGAATAACCACTTGTATTACATCAATATTACGACAATTATGAACAAGGAACTTACAGTTGCCGGGTAAAAATCAATAAAGACATAACCTCAACAATGTCTCAGTCATAGCAATTAAATCAATACTTTGAATATTGTTTTCATTTCTTCCTTAATCTGATGAATCTGGGGTTGAGTAAGCTACAGATTGACAGGGATCATTCGAATCTAAGGAGAAAGGGGTGTCAACAAACAAAAAAGTCATTCCTAAGTTATGAGCAATAAAATAACTGTCATAACAAAAATTGCTCATATTCCAGTAAGGTTTGACATCCGGTATCATTGTTTCAAATTACAATGGGATTCACTGCAGCAAATCAATAAATTTTCCATAAAGTTCTTTTAAAATGTCACATTTTATCAAGTCATCAAATGTTTTATATCCAAATAATACCATAAAATCGAACCTTTCGAATTGTCATCGAGAAAATGTAAAAATATTTCAATTTCAGACTCAAGTTTTTATTATTCATACCAAAAATATTATTTGAGTCTGAAGATTTTTCAAGACTTGTGACATTTCAGTTTCTACATACATCCATTAATGATTTTCATAAAAAAATATGTGTAACAACCTTCAATATTTCAATTTCAAGATCATCTTCGGTTTACATATTCTGAACAGCTTACATATGAATGTGATCCAAACTCGTCATACATTTTTGCAAAAAAAAAATCACATGAAGTGCGGCCAAAAACAATTTTTTAATACAGTAGCAAACTTCGTCAACTAGTCATGAGACATGATTCTGATTTATTGAGTGGCACTTACAGCATTTTTAAGCAGCCCACGCTGTGCAAATGAAAAAAAAATCTCAGATCAAAGTAAAGTGATTGTCGCTTCCGAATACACTATTAATAGACAGGAAAGATATTTTTAATAATAAGGTCCTCCTTATGTCACACAAAATTTTCACTTAAAAAAATATGAAAATGATTTTTATAATCTCAAGAATGAAGGTAAAATAAGATTAAAGATTCTCCACTAAATGTGGAATTTTTTTGTTGGGGCTACTTTACAAGCGACTCAATGACATAATAATAAATTATAATTTTACCTCATGACAATGTCACTTGCTTATAACATGATGAAATATTAGCTTTTTTCAGCACAAATTTCACTTTAGTCGCGGGGCTTTTGTTTTTGAATTTTTCATTCTGTCCGTGATGTGTTGATAAATTGAATGAATGTTTTGCTCTAATTTCTAAAGGTTATATGAAGTTCTTGGGTTCAATTTTCTGTTTATGATACGAGAATGTGTCTGTTTGAGATTTATTTTTATGGCGAAAACAATCACGGTTACTATTGAAGATCACATTTGTTCAGGTTTAGAAACTTAGCTGAATTTTAAAGTTATATTAGAAATTAACGATTTGCTCTTCAGTTATTAAGCTTGAAAAAGTAGATTCTATAGGATTTGAAAAAGTAAGATCAAATTGGGGATAAATCAATTCAATATCATTAGTAGAGTAACTAAGGTCGCGTCTTAAACAAAGTTTTACAAAATCTTATAAAAAGCCACAAAAATCTGATAAAATTTGATAAAACCATGACTTCCATGATCTCATCCTCATGTCAAATTAAAATCTGTATGAACCTAACCACAATAATCTCCTCATTCAGTCACATAAAAAACAATGAAAATTTTCCAGGAAGAATTCTTCAATATAAATTTCATTCACGAGAGTAATATCAGAGATGTAAGAGAGTAGCGATCTAGAAGAATATCAAGGAGATGAGAGATAAAGTATCAAAAATTTTTATATATATATTTTATTTCACATTATCTGTCACACTCAATCTGTAAAGAGAAAAATCACTTAAAGTGGATGTAGAGGAAGAAATTTTTTTTGTTTATATATAAACACATAATAATCTAAAGAAAGATGAAATAATGTAATGTAAGCACACGTCAAGCATCATCCTTCTTTTGATCACGCGGAATTGAATGGATATTTAATGACACTTAAAGAGAAGCGTGCAAGCGAAATAAATTTTAGTATTTCCCACACCCACTCATGTATTATAAATCAGAAAAAAATCTAATTCTTAACTTTTTATATTTATTTTGATTCATGCAGCTTTGATGTTGAAAATGGACAGGGTTCGCGATCACCGCTTGAAGGTGGCTCGCCTGCAGCCGGCCTCATACTTCAAAATATGCCACAGCGGCGTGAATCATTTCTTTATCGATCTGATTCGGATTTTGAGATGTCACCAAAATCTATGTCACGAAATTCAAGCATTGCGAGCGAAAGGTAAATAATAAAAAGAGGGATTGAGACAAGATATAAAAAGTTTTTAAAGCCTTTTTTTATCATCTCTTCTTAATATTCAATTTTTCCAATTCTCTTTTTCTCCTTTCTTTTATGCTGTCAAATTTAAAATAACTCAATAATGATGAAATAGAATTAAGGAAGCTGAATCGGCACAAACACCAGCTGTTGGTGGTGAACGAGCTCATACGGAAGATTTAATCGTCACTCCGTTTGCACAAATTTTAGCGAGCTTACGCTCAGTTCGAAGTAATTTGTACAATCTCACCAATGTTACACCATCATCAACGTAAGTATATTGGAAATAAGGTTGGTTTTAGTGGGTGGGATAAACCAAAGCGCAATGCTTCTGGCTATTCGCATAGCAACTTAATGGAAATCTTGTAGGAAATCAATCTTGTTTGTCAATCCTCTACAGTACCAAAATATTTAATTTAATGAACTTTAATTTCAAGCTCTGTACAAATTTATCAAGCTTTCTCTAGTGGATTTCTGTTGCTTAGAATCTTAAAACTGCCATAAAAGCAGCTGTATCGAATGAAAAAAAAAATATTTAATCATGCTTGTTTCAGAGTTGACAAGTGCTTCTCTAGAAACCACAAAAAAATTAGCAACGAAGTTTTCGAAGAATTTCAAAGAAGCCGTCAATTGTTGAGAAAAATGAAAACTGAAAAGCTTTCAAAAAAATTATCGATTTTATTTCCATCAGTGAACAGCACATCTGAGATGTAATCCTATAAGACTTCCTCAAGTTAGCAATTTGCCAATTCGATTGCTTTCAAATTTTCACAAATATCAGAAATTGAGATATGATAAATTTAATCAAAAATATTGAATGTAAAGCTTCCTCGTGCCTATAAAACAATGAAAGCTTTTTCACCCCTTTTCTAAATCGAATTGTAAACTCTCTTGAACTGAGATAAAATCGATGGAAAATTTCCAATTTTTCTTACACATATTGTCAAAATAGAGAAAAGATTTATCTGGGTCAATTGTTTATGCCAATAAGTACCTGTCATTTGAACATAAATCTTAGCTATATCATGCTTTGCTAGGTAATAGAATCGATTTACAGATGCAATGGAAAGTTTTTTGGATTTTTTGTTCAAATATTGAATTTTCGGATCTTAAAATTTTGATTGATGACAGATTTGGCAATGTTCAAAAGAAGGGGAATGGCAGGGATAAAGTGGTTATCGCTCAATTAAAGAATAAGAAAATTAATCATATTTTTCAATACCTCCATTGAAATCTGCAGAAGACCTCGCAAAACACAGCCATCAGCATCGTCACAACAGCTGCCAATCTCACGAAGCGTTGCTCCTGGCGAGGATGGTTACGTTCGCTTAGCAATGGATACAATTGATGAACTTGAATGGTGCTTGGATCAACTGGAAACTGTACAAACGCATCGAAGCGTTTCAGATATGGCTTCCCTTAAAGTGAGTATAGCAATTGATAACAAGTATCATGATATGCATACGCATATTTTTTATGTGTCATACAATTCAATTTGTCGGATTCATTGATTTTTTGAAATTAATTTTATGCCTTCGATCCTTCATTGATCCGTTATTTTTGTTTTTTTATTTCTTTCTATTCCATATCATATTCTTCAACAATCTGCGACCTTTTTCACCTTCTCAATCACAATCATCGATGTCGTCGTCAATCTTGTCATCGTCTTCATATTATTATTGCCTGTCTTACTCTATACATACACACACACACATCAACATCTAGTTCAAACGTATGCTGAATAAAGAGCTATCACATTTGAGTGAATCGAGTAAATCGGGCAACCAAATATCAGAATTTATTTGCTCTACATTTTTGGGTGAGTATCCGTAAAGGAGAAGATATTGATGAAACGAAGAAGAGAATGCCATTTGGTGTGGTTCGCATTGGAACGCAACAGGCATTTCTTATTCATAATATAAAATTGATTGGAAGATGACACCAAATATTGAATTCAATTTTCTTTCTACTTATTTCCTCTACTTTCATGCATTAACGAAAATATGGCTTCACACATACAGAAAAGCAACAAGAGGTTGATGTACAAACATTTGATAATCAACCACCACCATCATCATCTTCATCATCGAATGCCCAAAAAGCTCGTTCACCACGCACAATGTCACAAATATCGGGCTTTAAACGTCCATTGATGCATACAAACTCATTCACAAGTGATCGCTTACCAATTTATGGTGTTGAGACACCTCATGAGGCCACATTGGGTGCAATGTTAAATGATGTAAATACATGGGGCATAGATATCTTTAAAATTGGAACGTTGAGCTGTAATAGACCGTTGACATGCGTTGCCTATCAAATTTTTCAGGTATGAGAGAGTTCAAATGTGTTTTTACATAATAGGCTACCAAAGAGCAATGAGAATCGGGTAGCAACATGAAGTTATAGTCAGGTTTCATAGAAATCGAGCTACTGGATGAAAATACAAGCCACAAAAGTTCTTACATCAGTAAAGCTATTCAGAAAAGGAACATTAATAGGTTGGCATCGATCACATCTGCAGATCCAACCAGTAGCTCTCATCATTGAAAACTAGTCACGAAGAAAAGCTGTTTATGCAAAAAATCTCAAAAAAAACACCATAAATCAAGACATCAAGCATCAAAATCAAGCTCATAATTGATTTGAAGCTACTAAGAAAAATTCATTCAGTCCAACACATCCAGCCAAAACGAATTATGATAATTGAAAAAATGGCGCAAAAAATCGATTTAAGTCTATAAAAAAAAAATTCTGAAGTTTGATGGTAAAAATAACAATAATGAACGCGAGAGGGGAAGATATGATGTAAAATTCATCACTTTGCAATAACCTTATGTCTACAGAACAGAAAAAAAATATTCTCACTTCCTTTTTCTTGTGTCTTTTTGCTTTAAATCTCTTTTGTATTTTTCCTCTTAATAACAAAACAATAAGCAGAAGAAGAGGTTTTTAGAGCAGGCATATAGTCTTCTACTTGCATAGACAAAACAATAGTCATTCACTTGACGTTAAAAGCTTTATGTTGTTAGCACACAGCGTGCTTTCATGTTTGCATTATGTATACATGTACATTATATGCGCATAAATAAACATATCCAACATACATTGCTTTATGAAATTCATATTGGCATCATATCTTCATGGCACTTGCCATCTCCTTTCAGAATAGAAATGTACAAGGAATAAATTCTGTTTCTGAAGTTTATCTTTCCAAAAAGCATATAATGGCAACAATACTAAGAATGGCAGGGGTTTGTTCACTTAGGATGTTGACTCTTCACAGTAAGCTACTCGATGCTGACTATGTTGTGTCATTCGAATGGCTAAATATCCCAGTTTCTGATAGACGTCATTTATGAATGACTCTTAAAAGTTGATGTAAACAGTCTGAAAAGAAATAATGATTTTTCTTCGACTTACGTTTACTTTTTAAAACAGTGAATAAATAGAAAACAAGAAAAGGAACGAAAGAGAAAAGAGAGACTTTAATCAGGGTCGAAAACTTTTAACAATGGCCATGTCTGAATCCAGATGGTGATTTTGTTTTAATAGCTTTTTAGCGCGCTTTTATGCATTTGAAAAGTTTGACAAGAATATGCAGTTAATTTAGGGAGAAATGTCGTTTGAAAAACTTTTTTAATTCTCGTGAAATTACTTTTTAAAGTTTGTGGAACTATTAAGCTTAATTCAACTTTATTCAGCTTTTTAATTGAGATTCATTTGGTGCAATTAGAATTTATTTTATGATTTTTAAATCTACTCGATTCTGTCGAATGTTGTGTAGCTCAAGTGTAGCTAGAAGTCATAGCTTCAATTTTAACAGAATCTCCTGATTTGCATCCAAAGAAGCTGTTATTTTAATAGACTTCAGCCCTGCCAAAATAAATTTAACTATTTAAATATTCTAGCACGTTCAAGCTATATACATATTTCAATTAATTATGATATTTCTATATCAAAGCACGTAAAAATCCTGTTATTTCTGTTATAAGATAAATTACAATCAACTTGCAGACAGGCCGACAAATAGCTGTGAATACAACAACATTCCCACGCAATAACCATTATAACTTAGAACTGAGTGTTTTACGCAGAAGTAAGATTTACAAAATTAAGGGGATGTTAAATTTATGTTTCTACGTGAACTTCCTCTAACATCAGAGAAAGCACACATATAGCTTTTTAAATCAATTAATTAATTCTCAATTTGTTATGTAACAAGGAAAAACGAACACGAAAAGAGCAAAAAAGCAACAAAAAAAAATTCAAAGAGTTCCGAAAAATCCACAATTTTTTTTGTGGTAAATGCGATGAAAATGTAAAATGAGGTGTATAAAAACTCGAGGTGAAGGCAGAGTGGCTTAAAATTAATTTTCGCTAAGATGCTTAACATCGTTTGAGGTATTCTTATTAAATTATTGAAATAATTACATTCTTGGCATGGCTTTTATGGAAAGAATGAGAAAATGTAAAGGTGAGATGAAATCTCTTGATGTTAGAAGGTCTTCTCTGAATGAAGAAGGATGAGTCAGAAGAATTTAAAATAGATTTAAGTGGAAAAAGAAGTTAGGGTTTCATCTTACAGTGCTGCAGACAGCGTTTCAATATGTCTATCAATTTTAATAGACGTGGATCAATTTCTATCATGAAAAGTCTATTTGGAGTCAATTGTACTTCTGATCCTGATAGAAAATCAATGCTGTTTTAAATTTGCATGAATCTATTCTGAAATTTGATTTCAAATTTAGGTTTTGTAATGGAATTTCACCTTAGTTGACTATTCGGCTGTCTAAAACAATGAGCTTAACGGGAAATAATATGGTTAAAATAAAATTCAATAGTAAGAGTTCTTTAAATACCCAAAAACTACTGATTCATCCTTAAAAATAACCCAAAATAAGAGTAAACACTTGATCATCCCCGTAATCCCTGTCTACCATGAAATTAACCATCAGACAGCAGTCAACCATAACTTATCCGCCTACACTTTCGACTCTTGTAACAAACTGCTTGAAGGCATTATTTTTTCCCAAGCTATATACAACAATTATGGCCAGATGAGCAATTAAATCTGGTTTGGTTTTGTTGTTCATATGGTTGTCAGGTGTTTAACGCCCGATTTAGCTTTACAATTTGTTACTGCTGAAGATTTAATGAAAATTTGTCTGATTTTTTTCTAAGATAATTTGAAAAGTTTTTGACAGACAGTTCAAGCTGTCAGATTTAGTTAAATGTTTAATAATTTTTCTTAAAATGTCTTTCAAAACTTTCTTAAGTGCAATTTGTCATATTTATTCGTAGATTTAATTAGGGGTCGTTCACTTATGACGTCCACTTAACGGTCATTCTTTCGAAAAGAACAATGGATTTCTAGGAATTTCTATTGTTCTTTTTTGCTGACTCCTTCCCTCCTGGACGTCATAAGTGAACGGCCCGTTACTTAAATTGTTATTAAATTCATTTGAATTTTTTTCTTAGTCATCTTAAGATTGATGATGCAGAGTTATAACACTATCAGACTAATGAACTCTTTGAAAAATCCAAGCTAGTATTGCAGCTGATTCCTTTCAAACTGCATGCAGTTCTATAATATTTATCAACTTCCTTCTTATTATTAAAACAAATTTCTAAATTGAAAAGTTTTCATTCCAAAAACCAGACGATTGCCATTTATTATACACAAAAAGCTTAAGCTCAACTTCACCACATGAATTCATTAAAAATTATCATAAAAATAAGGTTTTTTTTCTTGTTGGTGGCATTCAAGAGAAGAAAATAATTAACAACAAATTCTAATGAATTATTAAAATTACACCCAACCAGGCACATTAAACTTCGCTTTTATAAAGAAAACTTTTCAGTCTACATCTCAATTCTCAAAAGCATCAATGAAAATTTAATCAACGAAAATTTTCGTTGACGTAGTTACGGAAAATAAAAAAATTATGGAAATTGTCATCGATATTGAATTGATGCGCATTTTTTTCGTGTGCTGATGGGGTTGTCAACTTGTGACTTGAGGAAAATGAGTTTGCGACTGGTTTAGGGTTCAGATAAATCGACTCCTGAATCTAGGTACCAAAATAAAGCACAAAAAAAGCTAGCCAATCCGACAAAACTAAATTAAACACCTTCTAAGCTGACACATCCAGAAAACAAGTTAAAAAACTGAAAAGGATGGCAATGAATACAAAAAAAAACTTTTTTCTTTTTCCACTTTCCATCCTCTTGTTTGTCGTCTTGTTAGAGAAAATATGTACATGCTTATTAATTTCTTTCAAAAATAAAACTCATGAGACCTTGATATTTATTATTCGAGTGAGTGAGAAGAGAAAAAAAAGAGACGAATCATCGCTGTGTAGAAATGTGCTATAAATTTTCATGCTCGCCATGATTATCATTGCTCAAAATATATGAGGTAGAAATTTTTTTGGATATTTTTCAAGAAATAGGAACGTCTCGCTGTTTAATTTGACATTTTTTAATGAATTTTATTATTTTTTCTTTTTCAACTTTTCAGGAGCGTGAACTACTCAATACGCTTATGGTGCCGGCCAAAGTTTTTCTCGCATTTATGAGTACATTAGAGGATCATTATGTCAAAGACAATCCATTTCATAATTCATTGCATGCTGCCGATGTGGCGCAAAGTTGCAATGTTCTTCTTAATACGCCAGCATTAGAAAATGTCTTTACACCATTGGAGATTTGTGCTGCATTGTTTGGTGCTTGTGTTCATGATGTTGATCATCCTGGTCTAACAAATCAATTTCTTATCAATTCGAGTAAGCTGTTTATGTCCTTATTATTTTTAACATGATAAACATTTTTAGGGGAGATTTTGTGTGAGCGAAAAATCTGTTGACATCCTAATACCTGAGCTAATCCGTCAGAAATCTGTGTGCCGAAAAACATTGCTTTGGAAACGAGAAAATGTTGTTAAAGTGGTTGATGATTTTGTGTCTGGATCTTGATAATCCAGTGGAAATTATGACTAGGGTACACGAACGCTTCGGACGTTGAGCATTTTTACTCAGACTTTTTAGTGACTAAACAGGTCACTGTCCTATTTCAATCATCCCCTGTAGTTCCAACTGCTTTTCTTAACTTTATAAAATTCAATTACTTTCTGTAAAGCTCGATAAAACTTCTTCAATTTGTGTTACTGCAAATTTAATTGATTGTGTTGTTAACTTGGTATCGACTAGAGAAAATGCTACATTGTACTTGCAATAATTGCAAGATGCATCAGCAAACTTTGAGTAAATCCTTTGGTAATCTTGAAGCACTTACTGAGACATCTTACATTATTTACCAATATTATTGTAGAAAAGCTGTGTAAGACGTTAAAAGGTTTTTTAAACATTAAGGCTTGGAACAACCTACAAACCTAATTCAATTCAATATCCTATGCTCAATGAGTTTTATGACACAAAACAAAATGCCATAAAACTCTACACAATCTTAAAGCAATGTTCCTCGTATTAAGCAATTTCAAACAAATGCTATTCGGTTAACCACAATATCAGTTCCATATGCTGCAAATTCACATTTTATTCTCGGTGAATTCGCTTGAAAAATTGAAAATTTTTTATGTCCCCCATTCAGACTTGACCAGTTTCCAATAGCAAATTGTATTAATTTTCCATTATCTTTGTTGCCATTTCCTCTCATTTCATGAAACACACATTAAAGGCTCTGAGCTGGCAATAATGTACAATGATGAGTCTGTGCTCGAAAATCATCACTTAGCCGTTGCCTTTAAATTACTGCAAAATGAAGAATGTGATATCTTTCAGAATCTTCAAAAGTAAGTCCATTAAATTGATATTTATTACATGCTGTAATCTCATTGACTTTAATTTTCACAGAAAACAACGTCAGACGTTGCGTAAGATGGTAATCGATATGGTTTTGTCAACTGACATGTCAAAGCATATGTCATTGCTAGCAGATTTAAAGACAATGGTGGAAACGAAAAAAGTTGCTGGTAAGACATTTGCTGCTGTTCTGTTAATAAATCTTTCATTTAACTTGAATGAGTTTCAAGTGAATATGATTTATATCCATACTCATAACTTATTCAGCTGGTGACATTTGATATTTCTTGTTGATTTATGTAATGACTGTGACATAAATGACTCATGAATTTCTCATCATCTCTTACTTTTTCATTTCTTTTCATTGTTTCCCTCTAATTAGGATCTGGTGTCCTTTTATTGGATAATTATACTGATCGCATTCAGGTGCTGGAAAACTTGGTGCATTGTGCAGATTTAAGCAATCCAACAAAGCCGTTGCCACTGTATCGACGCTGGGTGTCATTACTGATGGAAGAGTTCTTTTTGCAGGGCGATAAGGAACGTGCGGCTGGCATGGATATTAGTCCAATGTGTGATCGCCATAATTCAACCGTGGAGAAATCTCAAGTTGGATTTATTGACTATATTGTACATCCGCTGTGGGAGACATGGGCTGATCTTGTACATCCCGATGCACAAGATATTCTCGATATGCTCGAAGAGAATCGTGATTATTATCAAAGTCTGATACCACCATCACCTACCGAAATGGATGATGACAAAATACGCTTTCAAGTAAGTAATAATGGAACATAGATGAGAGACAGGACACGACGGTTGGAGACAACTTAATTTATTTTCATTTTTCTAGCGCATTTTTGTAAAACTTTATGTAGAATTGTGTTCAGTTTGGTTAGTTGTATATTTATGCTAGTAGTTTTGTTAAATAAAGCTTAGCTTATTAATAAACTGTAGATGATGTTGGCTTTCGCTTATCCATTATTACCATTAAATATTTGAATTAGTGTTGATCCTTTGCAGGAAATAGGTACCTTTACATTATTATATCATTACTATTCCTTAATTACAGTGACATACAAGACAAATCCTGTTTGAAAATTTATTTCCAATTAATTTGCTTTGCCCAAAATTGTTGCAGAATCCAGAATTGTTTTGCTTTGACTGTTAAACGCGCGTGTGCTGTATTTTTGTTATTCCAGAAACTAGACTTGTCGGCTTTATTTTTTTGAAAAATGAATCAATTAATTTCAGTGACAATTTATGATTTTAAAGGGGTTGATGTCCAATATTTAAAGAGATTGGGGGTATCTGAAGCTTTGAGACAGCGTCTTCCCAAAAATTTTGACGGATAGGAAATTTTAAATTCAATAGGAATTTTAAATTGACATCGTCAAAAAGATATTATTCATGAAATTCGTTAGAATCTTAGGGGCCGTTCACTTATTACGTTCGCATTTTAGGGGGGAGGGGGGTTTAAAAAATTGTAACAAAATGTAACATAGGGGGGGGGGGGTGTGTCAAGAAGTATGTAAAGTAACAAAAGGGGGTGAAAAAATTCGTTTTTTTGCGTAAAGTAATAAGTGAACGGCCCCTTAGCTGTATACTTAGAAAAATTCAAAATTAATTTAATTTCCGAATTTGTTTCTCGATCTGCTTTTACTTTTATGTCCTTCAACACAATTACTCCAATAATTTCAGATTACCTTTAATCATTTGGTAGAATTATTAAACTAATGAACTGACATAAAATTCGTGTCCAGATTGACAGGTAGACATGTAGACATACTGTTTAACATCCTGCTGCCTAAAAAGTAGCATTAGAATTTATCCTCTTATCACCTAAAGTCTTCGTTGGCAGACAAATCAGCTTACATAGAATTATTTTTGTTGAAGCTTCTTTAAAAAAATTATTTATCAAAGTAGTACAAAAATGCGCTTAATACATGAAAGACATTTCATACTTTTTGACTTTATTACATTTTCTCATTCATCTCATAAATCTAGGTAACTTTAGAGGAAGAAAGTATCTCAGATAACGATGATGGGAAGGAGGAGGACGATGAGGATGAAGCTCCCGCTGGTTCGTCCCATCCAGAAGATATAGCAGAAGAAGCTGATGATGAGTAAAATGTGTCCACTTGTGGCAAGCTTTATTTTTTCATATCTATGTCTCTATCTCTCTTTCTCACTTTATCTCTCTCTTTTTCTTTAATCACCATTTTTGCACAAGAGAAAAAAAATCATTTGAAAAAAAAAATAAGATTTATATTCATTCTACATAAAGATGGAGATTATAATATCTATATACACATATTTTTTTTTTGTTCATTTAATATCTAACCATAAAGCAGCCAGCTTTTGTACTGGTTGTTATGTTGAAAATGTAATAAATCCTGGTGGTTTATTACACACGCAACACACGAAAATGAATTAAATATTATATACATAATATACATACAACAAAAAAAAGCTTTTCTTTATATTTACGTTTCCTGGTGAAGCATCATTATGTATTATTATTATATTTATTATGGTTATGCCATTGCACAAAACGTAACACATATAGATTGTATATCAAAATATAGAAGCAAAGTGAGAAAAATTATTTAATGAATATTTTGTGCACTATTTTGAGGATTTTTTTTATAAATTCATTATTTATTCCCAATCTACCTACCGACTTAGTACAGAATTACAAATATTGTTGATATTTCAATTTACTGTGTAGGAATATTCAACATATTTAATTTGATGAGATTTAAATTTTTGACATTTTTAAGGCCATTTTACATCAGAAATGCCACTTAATATTTTATATTTCTCTGCTGAAACTAATGAGAGCATGAATGAATTATGAAAAGTTGATAGTAAGGAGGGGAAGATAAGAATTTAAATTACAAATTTCGATGTGCGAGGCTACAGCGGAGATGGAAAATAAAATTGGTATCATGAGGCTGTTTAGATTATAATTTTTGTGTTGACACAAGCTTTATGATTTCTTATTTGCTATTTTAATTAAGCATTACTTGCTATTGTAATAATATTTATCATGTGATATGTTATTTTAGGTCCTTATCCTAATTATTTTATAGAAATTAAATTGAACTGGAAGAATTTTTTTATAAATTTTCCAAAAGTCCTTATTTCTGATTAAAAGTCTGAGAATTTGTCTTATTAATTCTTCCATAAACTGTTGGCAACCCTAAGCATTAACCGACATTATTCACATCAATAAATCACGATGTGTAAGATTACGACATTTCCTTGAAATAACGAAAGTGAGCCACTTTCTGTTAATTGATTCTCCAAAAAAATCTTTGTAGTTTTTTCTTCGAATTGGAAGCAATTTACTTATAGCTTTTGAATGCTGTTGCTCTGTTTCAAACTTCAAAGTGTTTCAAAATATACTTTGATGTATAAATACCAGTAACTTTTGTCGCAGATGTTAAATAGGCTGGCAATAAAATTCTTCAAGCAAAAAACTGGAATTGTCATTAATGATGAATGACAGAGATAATGCGACTTTTTGTATGGGGTCGTTCACTTATGACGTCCGAAATTAACAGTCATTTTTCAAAAAAAACAATGGATTTCCAGGAATTTCTATTGTTCTTTTCTTGCTGACCCCCCCCCCCCCCTTGGACGTCATTAGTGAACGGGCCCTATCATGTTCCTTAAATTTGTAATGCATTGCTCACTTAGGAGCTAAAATGCAATTCCCCTCAAAAGCTTGCTTAATCGTCGATTGAAGAGGACGGATCAGGACAGTAAATACTGTGACCCTATAGTTATTTATTGTAAATTACTTACTTAGTGTGTTTCTTTCAATTGAGCTGGTTTCTTTCAATTGAGTCTATATTAAGTAAATTGTACCCGCCAGGGATTAAAGGCTAGGCCTCAAATTACGTTTCTTTAGTTTAAAAGTCAATCAAAAACTCAATGAGGTAACTTAAGACACTCTAGAACTTACAGAAAATAGCTTTATTAATTTTATTGTCTAAGCTCAACTAAGCCTTTCACATTTAAAATCGCACTTTAAGTTCCATTACACCCCTCCCGACTTGAAAGGAAATCAAATTCTTTTATTTATGATAATGATAATGATAATAATGAATAATGATGATAATGATATGAAAAAAAGTACTTGAATCTTATTTTTAAATTAAACTTTTAGATGAAAATCGGTGCATTAATTGTGAAAATGAAATCTTTTTAACTTTCTTTCATATTTCAATACATAAATCATCATATAAAAAAAAGTGAATCGTCGTAGCTAGTCTCTATTCTAATTGAAATTTAAACCATAATGAAAATGATGGAAAGTTTTAACATAAATTTAAATGTTTAAGAGGAGGAGATAAATAAATAAATAAAAATATTGTAATACAAAAAATAAAAAATATCGCGCAAGCTCTTTTTTAGAGAAATCGGGGCAAAAAATTTTCTTTTGAATTTTTAAAGAATATGAAGAAAAAAATTGACATAATAAATTATATTAAAAATAATGAAAAAGTTTTCCCGTTGGGGAGAATTAGAGAATACATATGAGAATGAACTAAAATATCTTTTGAACTTGAAGTGGAATTAAGATTTGTTTGTCAGGAATTTGGTTACTTTTCATTCATTTTAATTGGTAAATTATATAAATTTTTATCGGGAAATTGTTTCGAAATTTTATATCTGAAATGTTCAGCCTCAAAAATATTTTGTTTTTCTCAATGAATTGAATAATTTTCGTTATCCAAGGGGTGGAAGCTCTCTAAACGTCAAAAAAGTAGGTTTAAAGGCAAATGTAGAAGATTAGAAACATTTAGGCGATTGATGAAATTCTTACGATTTTGAAACCAAAGATGTAGCTTTGTGTATCGCCAATAATTCAAACATTGTTAACCAAAACTTCAAAATATGCTTCTCAATTCATTTATTGAAGAAAAAAAATATTTTAAAACCTCAACTAAAGCACCCCTTGCGTCTGAGAAAAACATCAAGGATTATGCTAAACTCACGAGTATCTACAGCTTTCAAGACGATATTTCATATAAAAACAGATTTTAATGAGCAATTTAAAGGCACTTCAACAACAGCAGTTTTATAAAAAAAAAAGTCATTAAAGAAATTCAAATTGATTTATGTTTGAAATCTCGAAAGCTTGTTTACATTAATGAGCTTATATTACTTAAGTTGTCTTTATAATTTTAATAAAAAACGCACTCTAGCAATAATAGCGACGTAAATAGATAACAGATTGAGTTGATTTTATTATATTTATATAGATAAGTAGGAACGAAGTTGTTTACATTTTCGAGTTCCTTTTTTTCGTTATCATTTAGCGTTATAAACTCTTCGAAATTCCATGAAAAGAGAGAAGCTTTATCTAGCCATTAAAAATCTCATTTCATTTATACTTTGCAACAAAAAAAAGCTTAAATCTCGATTGGGTTGTCACTGGAAATGAAAGGGAAAATATGAATTTTTAATAAACAGAAGAGAAAAAAATTGTTGTTCAAATTCAAAAGACCCTTCAAAGCCCCTGATTTGTAGGAATTAATGGAATGTAAAATAAAATACAAAAATGCGAACAAAACAGCATAAAATTTGAACATTTTTAGATGAAATTATAAATAAAATAAAAATTTATTAAATTTGATGGAAGAATTTGAGAGCTTTAGATACAAAAAAAAATTAAAAATATAAAAAAATTGGTAAATAAACATAAAATATTAGACATATTTCACGCCTTTCATAAGAAATACATAAGAAACATGAGAAAAGATTAGAATAACGTACACATTAATACATTAAATAACGCTAATAAAATATTCTTCTTCATATTTATATTTTACATGGAAAATGCCAGAATAACATTTGATTACATCTTTGAGGATTGATTCTTTAATGGTTCTTCTGCTTAGATACTTGAATAATCGTTGGCTGTCAACTGATTGAACGAAAACTTTTAAACTTTAGAATTTATGCAACACAAGTAAATAGTAGATTTTTAAGACGACTATCTACTCAAACGTATTAGAGGTAATACCTTTTAAAACAGCGTGTATACGTCACCATGGCACAAGATTTCAATGTTATGATCCAGAATTTCTTTATTTCTGACAGAATTTCATGATCTTTGGTTTTATATTACAAGACAGTTAAACTAAGTTGCTAGTTTTGTGAAGCTTAAGTGTTGTAGCTCAAAAAACCAGACAACATCAGTTCTGTATTTAATTTTATCTTAATAATGATCAACTACAAAAATCAACAGCTTCAGCAGAGCTACCGTTAAAGAATAAATTCCTCAATCTACAAAAAAAAACATAAATAAAACTAATGAAATAAAAATGAAAAAAAAACATAAAAAAGATTTTTAGAAATTTAGTGATATTAATGAAATAATCAGCAATTAGGATACAGGATAAGTGTTTTAACAGTCGAAATGCATTTTGTTGTCAAAATTCTTCCATTTTTATTTTTCATCAAAAATAACATTAAATTAAAGGATTAAAGATTGATTGATTGATGAGGTGCTTCACTTAAAAAATGAAAAAAATAAGTAAAATAATGAAAATATTATAAGTAAAAAATCTATGTGACTTGAAAAATGCTTCTATATTAAAAAAAACTGCAAAATGTTGTAGATGAATTAAAAATGAAAAAAAAACTAGAATTTCTTTTCATTAATTTTTGATTTAAAAAATAATTTTCTTAGAAAACTTTTGGCTTATCTAACATCATCAGATCAAAGATGATGCTTATATGCATGATGAATACTTTTTTTTCATTTAATTTTCTTTTCTAGATGAAATATGAAAGTTAAAAAAAAGTAAATTAAAATAAAATCTTTTAGACAGTCAGGCTAGATGTTATGAAAAGTTGATGCCAATTAACTATTAATTTTCTCTTTCTTTGCTTTTAGCAGAAAATAAATAAAAACAAACACACACAAAAAATACACTTACATACAAAACACACACAAATGATGTTATTTACCGATTTTCACCAAAAAAATATTATTTTTCTTTAACTCGAAATAATTTTCCTTAGATTTTAAAGATAATATTGATGAAGTAACAATACAAACCACAAACAGAAATTAATAAGTTACGTCCATTAACAATAATAAGAGAGCA